TACTGTACTGCTTCATTGGTCGAATTGTTGCTGTAAAGTGCGATTGCTGAGCAAGGAGTTTGGGATTCGACATACGAATCTATGGTATTTGTTTTTGAAAAATTTAGTAGTAGCACGGTGTCAGGATTTGAAAACAAATATTGTTACTCGTATGTGCACCAATGCTCTTTCGGGGATAAAAATGCCTGTCATTATGTTATGGAGTTTCCCTGTTTGTGGGTCAATTGAATCAGGTCTAAAGACATATAAATATTTGTCTGATGCTCTGTATCTGTCTTGAAAACTTATCTGTATCAATTATATAGCTCGTGACTACTTTGACAAATAAAGTGATGTCAAGTTTTTCCCCATCACCTGTTCTACGATATAGGTTACTAGCATTTCATACTTTTTTCACTCAATGTTAATATTGACAGTTTTTGCACCACACTCAATATTCATGTCAGAGACAACCTCCATAATAGGTAACCTACATCTTACGTTTCATTGTTCATAAAGATCAGAACTGATTAACAACACCATTCTTTGTCAGCGGGCATAAATAAGAACACTACAACTGTAGATACAGCCTTATTATCTCGCTATAAATGCCACTAGACTCAGGTGGGTCCGAAATAAATTAAATGGCCGTCTCCTCAATAATTAACAACTACAAACGCATTACAAATTAAATAATTTGTACCTAAGCGTCGTGTTTGTATTAAAAAACGATAGTATGAACGTAAATTGTATTAAATCGTAAATCCCCTCAATAAGTAAGCTCCGCTCGTGGTGCGCCGGTCTCATGTCAGATTTGGTTACGGGCATTAATATAATATTATTAACCAAATTATTAATGTCATCGGTCAAATCTAACACCAATCTTGTTGTGTAAAACTTAAGGTAGAGAATCGTGTTAATTGGTAACATTACGTCTGCAAATGTCAGTTTGTCGAGCAGTATTTAACTTTGGTTTGACATGTTTATTATTAGACGGAAGGGGCCTATTAAATTATTTGTAGTAATCCTGCATGGTAGGTCCCGATATTTTGGTTCAACTGTCCGGCACTGTTGTCAGAATGCTTGTAGCATTAGTTGGTGGCCACAAATCAGGGCTTACGGCATGTTTAGGTGTCAGTGAGGAAATTATAATGATACTCTGAAAGGAGATACGATGTATCGGAATGTGTGTAATCTAGACACGACTGCTGCTGCGGATTGAAAAATAAATGAGCGATGGATTCTCTTTTACATTGTAATGTATTAAATATGTAGAAGTCATTGGTAGTAACACTTTAAGTATCGATTTTTTCGAGTCGTCGAACTCTAATTCGGGTTTTGTTAGGTAGAACACGAATTCTCAAATTTCACCTGGATGTTTGAAACGTGGCTACAAAAAAATGTGTGCTATTCATGTGTAAGCAAGTTCACTGTTGCTTACTTCCTAGTGAAATAACAAGAATGACGTTTCATAAAATTATAATAAGAAAAAAATTATTAGCGCGATTCTTATTTAGCAACTCGTTTCTTCCACCACTCGAACACATGGTGGACTATAAAAATAATAAAAAAAAAAAATCGCATTACATAGGTACCTACGTATGTACCATAATACCGTATATGACAAAGTTTATAGCACATAAAACGGGGTGTGATCACACAAAACGATCGGCCAATGCAATATAATACCATATTTTATAGGCATGTACCGCCGTAACCGGTGACCACCCACGTAGTCGATTTACTGAAGCCACGCCCCTTTTACTTCACTACTATTTTGGAGAAATAACCTCGTGTTGCCTTGACACCTTAGCTCACTAATTTAGACACCTACGATCATATCAAGTGTGATCGGTTTCTATTTGAGTACCTGTGTTTAAAAATTGAATGATGGGTTTTAGTCGATTAGTTGGTTTTCCTTTTTCAGTGAATATTTTGTCAAAGCATTACGAATATTTATTTACTATTTTACGGCGCTTAGACAAGATGACTTAGGACATTCAATTTTATTTTCAACTAGTGAACCGCCCCGGCTTCGCACGGGTGCAATATGCATGTATTATACATACAAACCTTCCTTAAGAATCACTCTATCTATTTAAAAAAACCGCATCAAAATCCGTTGCGTAGTTTTAAAGATCTAAGCATACATACGGACATACAGCGAAAGCGACTTTGTTTTATACTATGTATTGATTACATTAAAACACCTACTTTAATAAAATATATTCACCACACTTTAACTATTAGCCAAATTTGACTGCACGGTTGGTGCGGTGGCTGGGCAACCGGCTGCCGTGCAACGTGTCGCGGGTTCGATTCCCGCACGGAACAACACTTTGTGTGATCCACAAATTGTTGTTTCGGGTCTGGGTGTCATTGTGAATGTGAACTTGTATGTTTGTAAACGCACCCACGACACAGGAGAAAATCCTAGTGTGGGGCAACGTTTTTTAAAAAAAAAAAAAAAAAAAAAAAAAAAAAAAAATCTACTACTAATACTAAAGTAATATAAACTAACCTTGATATTGTTTCAGGATTAATTCGCATAATTTTACTTGTCTGATTGATACCAATTAAAACACCATAATTGGAATCCAAACACAAACTACACCATCCTGTAATCGACTAACCGCAACTCTGACACAATAGTAATTCGACTACTCGACTAATAACATCGTCGACATTTCAACCGTTTTCTTAAACGAATGGACCACACACACGAGTCATTATATTATTAAAACCTCACCCATTCAGGGGCCAAATTGACATGAATAAATTGGGTGTTATTTTTACGTGTTTCCCTTATAATCTTGTACACCTACGTAATTTCGTAGTAGGGGTGCTAGTGATGTGATGTTTCGATATTTAATGTTTTTGTCGGTTTGAGTTCATATGTTAATTTTTTTATTGTTATTTTTTGATCTAGTCTCGTTGTCGGGATAAAAGAGATAGATTCGTTTTATTACTGCTTATAAAAGTATTTCGATGAGGGTAAAACGTCGTACCTTTATTTATTTTTACAAAGGTGTCACTATTAATTCTAATCTTGACTTTCGCTAATTCATTTATTTAAAAATTCTAAAGCAAATGTCTATCTATTGTGCACTCGTATTGTATATTATTTTAGTAACCCTTTGTTAAAAATAGTTATCTTGATGTCAATTCTTTGATCCATGACGAAGATTTGATCAAGCTAACTTAATAGACCGTCGACTAAATTAATCGGTAAGTTGAAATAATCGATTATTCGAATAATAACTTCATCGATATTCCTATTCAAATCGAATTGAAAATTGAAGGTTACCACAGAGGCTAATTTGAGGTTGTCGCGTCACTAAATTATAGGTCGCATTCTTGAGTGTAGTAATGGTCAGTTTATTTCAATAATTGAGATATTTTAAGGGTTATGAAAGTTTTCGGAATGAATAACTGTTTTGGTAGACATGGTAATGGATATAAATAACTTTTTATGTCCACTGTATTATAATCATCAAGTCTGTTTTCGTCCACTGCGGCCTCTCCAATCGCACGCCACTGAGTTCGATCTTCAGCTCTACGTATCCAACCACTACCAGCCACTTTACGTATATATCTTTCTTCACTGCACCTAGCTGGAGGGCGCCCTACACTACGTTTCCCTAGACGCGGTCTCCAGTCCAGAACACGTCTATCCCAACGGTCATCGGTTCTTCGACAAATGTGACTAGCCCACTGCTATTACATCTATTACTACATTGGTAACTTTAGTTCTCTGTCGGATCACCTCGTTATGGATCCTAACCTTCAGAGAGACTCCGATTGCATTATAATAATAAACTGTAATGTATAACATTATCACATAAATATACCCAGTAGGTGTAATTGATTATAGAAAACAGGCGGAAAGTGTGTGTCAGTTCATATTATGCCTGACTTTACATTAACCGTTCGGGGCCTTAGAGCCCCAATGTTATAATATGGATAACCATTATTTTGCCTATCTATACTACGGCATAAAACCAAAGCACTAAGAACAAAATACTGTTTGAGTCAATTGTTCGAATTAATTTAATTTTTGGAAATATTTGTCAATAGGCTACGCAATAAACTGAAAGTATACAATACAAATCCACTGTGTTTAGTTGTTGTGTTTCGTCGTGTAAGTGAGGTTACCGGAGGCTCAATCCCCCCCCCCCCTTTTCCAATCTGCCCAATCCTTGAATCCCAACAAACCTCAAATTCCTAATCTCGAAAGACCTTAGCGAGATATTTATAGAGATTAGTACCACACTTATTACGTCTCTGGTGTTCCGTGTGTCCATGGGCGACGCCGATTGCTTACCATCAAGTCATCCGTCTGTTCGTTTACCGGCTTATCCCACAAAAAAGCTGTTTTCTTAATCAATAAAACCTACTGTAATTAAACCGCTATAACTTTGTTCTTTACTAATATCTTATTTGTAATTCACCCTACCATCTAACTTAGCATACATAGCTAGGGTTGTCTAACGAAGCAAATTGAAGTGTCATTGTGACATAGCGGTGTCTTTTGACTTCTCGCATTTCTCTCTTGACTATGACATCAAAGTTAATTGGAGAGGCTCATTCTTGCACGCGCTTGTATTTTCTTTTCATATTTATTTAATGTTTTAATGCAGTTGTCTAGTTACTGTTGGTTTAATATGGATCATATTCAAATGTAATAAGAAGTATTTTTGCTATATATTGTTGTGTCATGGTATTAGAAATGTAATTGAGGAAACTGAAACTTCCATCGTACATTTTTGTAATTTAGGTTTCATGTATCATTTTAGTGGCTATATAAACACTACACGACCTGCTTGGCGAAACGAAGTTATCGTAGATAGATTTTTGCAAAATCAGAGGGTTATTAACAGCTCGCGCCTTGCAGACCTTTAAATGGTTTGAAAAATACCTGACAGCTTGAGATGAAATGAAACACATCGTGATCAGACATAACACATTAAATAGTACATGTTTTATTAACCTACTGTAAGAACTGAGATACTAAAACTCACCGATCTCCCAGCATTATTGTTATGTACGTTGATCTTGGACTGTAAGTCGTCCACCTGCTCCCGTACATCAAGGAACTTCTTAGAGAACTCGATGCCATAAGCCAAGTTATGTGAACACCCACTCCACTCCCATTTGTCAACCTTCGCTCTGCCGCGGGGGTCATGTGAGGCTCGATATCCTAAAGGATCGCAGCCACAAGATATCAAGCGGCCTTGTGCGCAAGCGCGAGCTATGGAGTGCGCCACTCCTGCTGCTGTAAGAGCGTAGAGGAATGATGTCTCACGGAATCCTGTGGATGAAGAAGAGAAAAAGAAATTAATTTATTTATGAGATACCATCAATACTTCATTCAATAGTGGAAGTTTATAGAGTGATATACACGTTACTTCATATTTTAGCTAGGTGACAAAACTGTCGCATATATAATTCAAAGACAGTGATTTCAAATTCATGTTGGTACGAACTACAAGCTAAGTTTAGCTCAAACTGATAACAAGTTGTTGGCAAGCCTTAATTTATAACGATTCAATCAGAATTTATAAACACAAATGTAAATGCTTCAGATATCTAAGTGAAGAAACCATTACAAAACTGGATTGTTTCGTAAATGTCAATAAAGTACTGTGAGTTAGGTGGCCACCCAAGCTTAAACCCGATTGCTCTCATTGGCATAAGCAGGATAAGTTAACTAATCCTGTTAAGCAAATCATTGGTACTCGGTGATCATGTAAACCGAGGAAAATGAATAAATATTTGAATATTGAATAGGACTCGCTTATCTCTGGGCTTAAAAGTTATGCGTTCGCGTTTGCAGGGTTAAAAACAGATTGCGAAGATGTTAAGATTCTAGATGTGCTCAGAGTTAATTTATATTTGCTTGTTTAATCGGAGACATGTAGTGTGAAGGAGGCTTAAGCATTAAGGTTTTATGTGAGGATAGATCACAGATAGATAAACTTCATGGGTCATTGTGTTAAATGGGAGAAACCGAGAAAACAAAGACATGAGCTTATTGACGTTCATACATAACTTTGTTTCATTAATTAATAAATGTTTTCATTTCCAAATTGTACCTAAAGTCTTTTTATTTAGGTTTCCTATTATCCAATACTTTTAAATTTTCCCTCAAACTTGAGATGCTATGAATAAAAATTTGAGTACCGAAATTTTGACTTTGGATTTCGTAATCAGACTATCAATATTGATTTTAGATTTCCATTATCTCATCTAGAGGGTCTATATCTTGGCTTGAAGATGTATCTGGTTCTTTATTTCCCTTATTCGGTGTGTGGTCGGCTCGTCTCACGCGGAAGGCGTTTGCTGCATTCCTGTATCCACTTACTTGTGCGGAAAAACAGTTCAAAATATTGCGTGGATTTTGCAGTTTAGGATTGCGTCGTTGTTTGTGTGGACGCAAGTTAGACTACTGGAGGGTTTATTCTCCGATCTGGTGAAGATGTTTCTGCCTGTCTATTTATTGAGTTTATTGGTTATTTTTTTATCAGTAATATCACGGAGTTTGGAATTCCGCCCAGTATTTGGCAACATAGGTGCGTAATGAATTTTCACCATAATTTTTTTCTAGAGTTTTACATCAGAATATTGTTTTTTTCACACATTTATGTTCCTAATAACATTCATTGAAGCCTAAAACGATATTAGTTCGTTAATAAAGAAATCAGTAAGATCCCATTCCCAAAACTGGTCAAAATCAAAATCAAAACACCTATCGTTTTATCAATAATATTCGAAAACATTAGTAAGTTACCTAAATAATTTCAAACGTTGTCCATTACCGCTTTAACAGATAACTACTGCATAACCAATAAATCTGAAGCAACAGTGTACGGCGCATTCCGATGATATCGCGATACGGTATTTATCATACATAAAATAGAGGCTTCTACTCCACATTCGATGGAGGTAATATGACCAGAATGATCTAGAATTAAAGCAGGACTGGTTTTATAGCATTGGTTTGAATAAATGCTGTTGCATTCACAGCGGTAGAAGACAAATCTCTAGTCTAATATTAGGATGACAGATGAGTAGAAGGAATATAGGTAATCACCTATTCTTTTCTTACAGGTGTTGTATCATAATAGGAGACAACTTTTGGGAAAGATCGGGTAGTTGTGGACTCTGATAAACCTGAACCTTTAAATGTCGAACCTGGGTCCTTAGACAAAGTAACATCGCTTAATAGCGAAACGAAAAGTAAATTCGCCATCGTCTCTGAGATAACGATAAACATTTCCTAGCCAATGTAACACTATGGTCGTGATCGTTGTGTCGAATTCTTTATTCGGCAAAAAACAAAAATATTGGTTATGGTATCGAAAATCCAGCTGTCAGTGACAGTCAAAAAGTTCAAATCGGATCAAACTCGCGAGATATTGATGTTTTAAAATTTTATTAATAAGAAAGTGAGTGTTGCGTTTAATTGTTTTTAAGTTAAATATAAACGATAATTTTACAGTCGTAAGTGAATAGAGTGATATCTGTATTAGTGTATTGCCTCTAACACAAAATAAATACTAACAATATCAATCAATGTCAAAAATCTGCTGCGGAATGAAATTCGGCCATATTGTTTCAATAACTACAACCTTTTAGCATTCGTTTCGTTATCGTTTTTAGCGATCACGATCGAGGCGTTGGCGAACACTGAAAGGTCTGCTTGTCTACGCATTCATATAGAATAAACACGATGACGATTCGTTACTTTATAGTTTCGTTACGAAATATAATATTGTCTACCAAATTGCGATAACGATGTCGATTGACCACGTGACTTAACGCGGCCTATGTCAATCCCATACATTTTAGTCTTAACTAACTTCGTTATCGTTTTTAAATTGTTACTTTGTCTAAGCGCCCTGTTTACCTAGTATGGAGATTATAGGAAACGGTCTTAAGTACTATAACTTATCACTGATAAAATGACGTATGTATGTTAATGATGATGTACCTACCTATATAGGTAAAAAAATGATAAAAAGTTTGATCTTTTTAAGTTCTTGATCTTTGCCAGAGTCTGTATTTCCTGAAGGGTATAACCTGAGTGTCTTTAAGGCCCGAGTGAATAGGTTGCTAGGCTACATCGTCGCTTACCACCAGGCGAGATAGTGGTCAAACGTCAGTCCCGTCTAATATATATATAAAAAAGAACTTAAGCCAATCGATCCTGACAAAATGAATTATTATATTTTTCCACTTACTAGGTTATTTGACGAGGAACTCGACTAGTTTCAAGCCAAATGCATGAGTAATCCAAAAAACATAATAATTAATGTAGTATGTTCCACAAAAGTTATAACCTAGCAAAATTATTCAGACTCATACTTTCAATAGTGCCTGAGTAACACAGACATATCGTATAGTGTAATATAGTCATTAATAACAGTTTAAACTGTCAAACACCAAGCGGTCACCGGTGACCGCAACCTATTGTTCTATAATTGTGTCTACAAAACCGGTACTCGACGAGTTAATAACGAGTTGTTATAACTTAGTAATGTGTAATATATGTCCGGCTATTAATTCTATGCAATGAATAGAACTAAATATATGCCAGCAATTACGCTTTGAAGTATGAAGTACAGCTGTACATAGTTGCCAAAGAGAATTATGTTTCAGTGACATACTGACGACAAGATGATAAATTCAATTTATACCACCCACTTTCCAATACATATTAAAATGTCTTGGCAGTCTGTCTTCGAACATTTAAACGCGCATTTTTCGTGAGCTTATTTAAAATAGTATGATCTTTATAGCGATAAGCTAACTAAAGTAGGCACAGTAACTTTTGTAAAGTAGAATTCTATTACGCTTTTACATATAAACAGATAGACTGGAACTGAAAAATATATCATTTGGATGGGCCCCAGGTGTTGTTTGACTAGTCGACTTATCACCTCGAAAATTTACGTGACGAGAATTTTTTATACTTATAGGGTTTCGAGGGCTATAAATCGATCTCGCTAGGATTCTTTTTCAGAAAATGTCTGTGTCTACTTAATTGAATAAAAATGCTTATTAGATTACGAAGCTAAGTTTCGCCATTACAAATAAAATGTTGATAGTTTAATAGGGATAGCGGACGCCTTCTACGCAGGACACTTGAGTTCAAACCTTAGCCTCAGATTGAAAGTTTCTATGCTATTTAGTTCTATTTATTTTTTGTTCTAACAAAAAAACACCGAGCAAGGCTCGCTCATTCAGATATTGTATCTTATGTATCCTTACTAATATTATAAATTGGAAAGTGAGTTTGTTTGTTTGTTCCGCTTTCACTAGTAGGGTACTTTTTATCCCGGAAAAATGTTATATTCCCGAGGGAAAACAAGTATTGGTATAGATGGCGCTGTGTGTATCGGTATATGTCACATAAGCTACTTTTTATCCTTTTGTGACGCTAGCGAAGCCGCGGGTAAAAGCTAGTAATAGATATAATACAAAAAACCTCATATTTCAAAGACAATTAATATAGTCCTGTAAAATACGAACCCATCGTTCCCATACAAAGGAGGAACGCGGAAAGCAACCACCATTTATCTGTTTTATTCCAATAAATTAAATAGTGAATCCGTTCGCGTGATGTCCAGATAAGCTGGTTGGACTGCACAATGTAATCTTTTTACCATAAACAGTATGACGACCGATTTGCATTTGAGTTAGGTCTGTCTTTAAATTAATTGTGCTATTCTTGCTATTTCATTGTGTTAACGTGAATAGCCCTTTGGAGTTTAAGTGCCATCTTTAATAGGCAATTATGGTGGGTCCACCTGCTTTTGTTGCATCGATCTAGGGTTATATCGCCCGTTAATTTTATTCGAGATGAATATTTTGAATGATATTCGTGCTTGTGACTTGTGCGTGCTGAGGTCGAAGTGACCCTTGCAGGTTCGTTCGTCTAGTTTGCAAAATGTTGTACCTTTTAACCCTCGACGGGTAATGTAGAGGCGCATACAATGTAACACCTACTTTTCAAGTCCCGTTTAATAAGAGGTGATTCTTTTACTAAAAAGAAAATTAAATGTAAAAATAAACAATCAATAAAACCTTACTGCTTACATAATTGCATCTAAATATCTTTCAAGTGTATCAGTCTCGATATCGAGTAAAAAAGAATCGATTCATAATTACTAATTAAGTGTCCACATAATTAGTAAGTTTTTTATTTTAATCGTTGTTTTTCTTCGCTCCCACGAGTGCACCCGAAACTTTTATCTCGATATATTTGATCCGAATGAATCGAATAAATTAAAACGATTGTATCGAGTG